AAACTGGCGGGCTTTTCACCGTTGACTGCGTTGCTACACTGTAAGCTCAAGGGCCCTAAACATAGCGGATATATACAACTATTGTTCACAGTCATGGCAGCAACAGGCAAAAGTGAACTCATGTTCAGAGCAAACGTTAACCGAACAGCAGAGTACGGCGAGCTCTCTTTTTCCGCTTGGGTTGCTGTGTCAGTGCGGAGCGGTGCTCGCTCTAGAGAGAGTCTGCAGGCGAGCACGCCGAGCGAGATTCCCCCCTATCGGGTGTGGAGGGTGGGTTAAAAAATTTCTCTGACCAGGCTGCCGCCTAGCATGCATGTGTTTCCTAGGTCCTAGGTTTGAGCCGATGCGTTGGAAGGCAAGCGATGCGTTGCTATCTTTCAAAACTACGAAAACACTGCTGATCTAAAATACAAACGCACAGCGAGCGTAGGTCTCCTTGAGCTTGTCCAGCATTTCCTCGTGGAACCTTTGGTTGCCGGCGACAACGACATCATCCACATGGACTGTTCAAATGCCTCCTAGCTCATCTCCATCATACGAGTACAGCACACACGGATCCAGTCTATATAGATTTTTCATTCCTAGTCCTTCCATCGTACTCATGAAGCTGTCGTACCACTGTCGCGGCGCGTCCATCAGGCCGTATACGCACTTAAAACCCTGCACCAGTAATCCCGGAGCTACTCCGGGAATCTCCTCGCTCGGCAATTCCACGTTGATTAATCCAACGTGTCTTTCTAGGGGCTTTCCTTGAAGGAAGGCTCCTTCCACATCAAGGATTACCAGGGTCCAGCCTCTTACCACTGGCCCGGCCCTTCCCTCGAGAAAAATCCTCTGCACTGCTTTCCACACCTGCGCCGCGTCCCCTGTAGCCGCCGTTAGCACCATGGAAGTTGGTTGGAATCCAATCGCAGCTGCTTCAACAGCAAATAGCCCTGAACCACAGGCGGCAGCTTCACGTCCTCTTCTTCAAGACGACGAATCGCCGATGTGAACCTGACATGGAACTGTCTGTAGCTCTCTCACGCTGCAGCTCTCCCCCAAGTTCGCCTGCAGCTCGCAAAAGAAGGTCTTCAGCGCTGTGTGCAAGAGGTCGACTGGCTGCGGGGAGTACTTCTCATGCAGGATCTTGAAGATGGCCTTGCCACCGCCCGCTGCACACAGCTTGTCCGGCTCCACGCTCTTTAAGAGAATCTCCGCCTCGCCGTTCATGAACTCCATCAGGCGAGGTCCGTAATTGCTTTGGAAGACCCGCGATCATGATGCGAGCTCTGCGCTTCCATCTCCTGTAGAGAGATGGATCTGTCACATCAAAATGCTCGAGTCGCTGCTGGTTGCCGAGGTCGTCTGCACCTGAAGTCGAGCCGCTCGCCATCTGCCGACAGTGACGCTGGCCTCCTCCTCGAAAACTTCGCTGGCAACTTCGCTACAGCTCTGCTACAACTGTCATCAAGAATAGGTCACAGTGGCTCCATGTCTGCTCTAAGCGAACGCCTGTTTTCTCCGATGCTTGAACCCCATTTGCTGCATCATGTCCGGATGCTTTTACGAATGCCTCTCCTACTTGAAGGGGTGGGTGTCTGCTCTTCCACACCTTCGCTTCTTCTGATCCCCAACTCGCCGCCTCCAGATGCTTGATCGCATCGGCAAAGCGGCGCTCCACCGCTTCGGGGAAGTGACCCTCCTGCCAACAGATCCGGCTTTCAGCTTCTGCAAGACCGTCCGGCGGCGACGGGTGAGGCCGGTGAGGCATAGGTGTGCCCAGTGTGCCCCGGGCCTGGCACATCTCGAAGGTCAACCCTGGGCAGCAGCGATAGTAAACCTCGTAGCCGAAGCTGCCTGGCCAAAACGCGCTGCCAAAAGTCGCTAGGTGGGCACATCGCGTCTTGCTGAGCTAGTGCACTGTCCTCCGTTGGGCTCAAACTTTTCGCATCTTTTCGCACCTGGGTGGTCGGAGTCTCCGGGCGCTGGCGGATAGTCGTAGTCCAGGCGGACCACGCCCAGGGCTGGATGCCTGATAATTCAAGGGCCTAAAGGGCACTGCTGCGGCGTTGGATTCGAAGTCCTTGTCGAATCCCTTCAAAGATAGAGCAACGCAAAGCCACTGCAACCGAGCTTCGTTCTTGACATTGACTGCGTTCCGTATGAAATCCCGTTTACAAGTGGGTCTTTTGGTGACCAAACCTGCTGCAGTACCCGACTAGTACCCTCCTGGCCCTGCTGCCGGGGCACTTAGCCCTGTTCTTTTTCGGTTGTCCTGCTGCTGCGCCGCCGCCGCCGCCGCCTGCACCACCCTTCCTGGGTCATCAGACGATGGGCTGTCCAGTATCCTGTGACTTTCGGAGCGCCTTTCCTTGCCTGGACATCCGGCGACCGCCACTTACACTTTTGCATCTGAGCAGCGGTCAAAACCTCTTTTTTATCGTAGTAGCCGCGTGTAATTAGCATCTGATCGTAGCGATGATGCAGGACATTCACGAGCCAATAAGTTGTAAGTCTCGCTTGGGAATGAGGCTATCGGTTGAGGGTCGGCCGCCATCAGCTTTAATGGACTTCGTCAGATCTGTCCCAGCTAGTCATAGCCACCTCTTGCAATACTCACCTGTACAGATTGTGAGCCTGACCACAAACTCCACAGCAGCCGCGGATCTTCAAACTCTCGAGGAGCTCCTGGTGTGCTCTCATCAACTCCACCTTGGAGTCCCAAATCTCGGGTTCAGGGTTGGGAGTTGGGGCTCTGATTTTCAGCTCAGCTTGACGCGATGAACGCAGAGAAGAGTATGCACACACGTGGAGACCCTTCATCCTGCTTGAATGGATCCTGTTTGTGCTAGATTGTTACTTACCTTTCTCAAAACATGCACAGTTTCACAGAGACAGAGAGGGCGGGTGTTCGACTTGAATTGGGCGAGACCAGCATCGCAGCTTGAAGCGAGGCTGAGCCACATGATGCTTCGTGAGGTCACTGTGCCGCTGCAGGAGGTCGTTGTGCTTTTGCTGCGACTCCTCGCTCTCCGCAGATTGCAGGGCTTCGTCGGCTCGGCTAGCGAACATCCGAGTTCACAGTTCCAAGGCCAGTCCTGCAGGCTCTTGACGATGTCCTTGTAAGCCTGCCTAGGAGGAACTCTGACAAGACAAGCCATGCGAACTGTCTCGACAGCAGGAGGCAGTTGGATTTCTGCTGGCCCGTGTGAAACGAATGCCAATTGAACTGACTGTAGTATGGACAATCTCTTTCTCGGGACATCGGATATGGAAATGCAGAAGCAGCATGCATCGTCGTTCTCACCCTCTACGGTGTGCTACGGCTAGGCGATGGCAAAGCGGCTATAAAGAGGGTCTACGGAGACTGCAAGATTGCCAGGCCACACGATCAAGCAGAGCACTCTGACCCTGATGACGAGCTGTAAAGCTTTGGATACGCTGCATCCGCGCCGTCGGCTCATCAGTACTGGCTTCGGTTGCTGTCGCAGTGCGGGTGGCACTGCGACATCAAGCCAAGGCTCATGATTTCACTGTGGTTCTTCGTCTCGATGTTCGCCAATGAAGGCGCTGGCCCACTCGGCCTCCGCATGGCTTTGAAGGCATCTTGGGCAGATTTCCGATGCTTAAGACAAGCCGAAGCTACCGGCTTCCTCCGATCTAAGGACATGCCGTCAACCTGCATCTCGGCCACACATACATTAGGGCTTACTAGGACCTTGGACCGAGGAACCTGAGCAATACTGAGCCAACAGCTTCTTGGTAGGCTTTTCGGAAGATAAGCGGTCTCCATACCTGGTGGCCTGCCCCACACCTCACATCCTTGCACCGGAAGCATGTACGACTAGCCGAGCAGCCCCCTGTCGCCGAAACTGCAGAGCAGTGAGATCTCCGCAGCAAAAGTCAACCCTCAACAATGGCTGTCATATCACACCAGCAACCTGCTCCGCAACGACAACATGAGAGCGTTTCCCTCTCCAAAAATCATGTCGGGTCGCTCATGTGGCATAGCATACATCGGTGGACCCGATGGCATGATCGGAGACAGGGCCTGAAGCGGGCGAAGTTTCACTCTCTGGGGCCTTGAAGTTCTGCCTTGCCGCAAGCTCCTACTGGTGGAGTTCTTGCCCTTAACAGCTTCAAGACGAGGACCCACCGGTCTGATGACTGATGCTTGTAGCTTCATGTATAAAAATCAGGATGTTCAGGTCGGATCGCTGTGCAAATCGTCGCGGCGCCGGTTCCCATCCACTAGCTGCACAACATGTCAACACGGATTTGCCCGATCAACGGATGCACATTCTGCGAAAGACACGCCCGAAGAAGACATCACCAAGAAAGACTCACGTTGAATCTCTCTCCCGTGGCCTGCTGTGGTTGGGTGAAAGTCATCGGCACTCCAGTCATGCCCCCAGTCATGCCCATTTGCCTGCAAACATTGAGCCAAAGTCTCTTACCTCACACGTGCTGTGCCGCGATCGTAGACATCTGCATGTAACGGAACTTGCAAAGCTGCTAGGCCTGCTGCCCTTCAGTCGCTGAAGCTCCATTTCCAGCATGTCCAGGCGGCTGTCGAGCGGGTTTGAGAAACCAGGCCTGGAGGAGCAAATGCTGCAAACTCAGAACAAAGTCACAGTGGAGCTGGCGCCCTAGAAATTGCAGGGTTTCTGGATGGGAAATGGGCTGCATGGCAGCCCACGTTTGCGTACAGACGAAAGAACGCTTTTTAGGGTTCATGTAAACATGCACATGTGCCCTGCCCGCACATTGCCATTCATGCCAAGGACACATGTCAATGTGCAGGTATACGAGGCGATAGAAAGGATTCGCAGATTAGGACTCATCTTTCAATAACGACCGAATGACTGGCTCCAAACTCTGAAGCCAAGCCGCATCATGGTCCCTTCAGGGCTCGATGATGGGTCCACAGCCCCGCTTGCTCAGCTTTGGCCACTTGGATTGAGAAAGGCTGCAGCGCGGGCACGGTTTCTACGTTCGATAAGCTTGTGCTCCTCTGCGGAGCCATTGCTTTGCCTGCCACGGTTCCTTTCGCTCACAAAGCAGAATACTTGCACTAGGAAATAACGAAGACCACAGCCATAAAACCCAAACCCAAAATCAGGCAAGATGGCAATCCAGGGCCTCGTGAAGTAGAGAGTTGGGTAGTGCCAACTGCTGGTGGCAAAGTCATGCATAAGATCTCTTCACTGCGCAAAAAACTCTGCTTAGCGTGGTCAAAGCAAGGGCTTCCCCCCCTCCCTGGCTCTGAAGGGAGGTCCTTCGAAGTGCCCGACTGGCCGACATGCCCGAACCGCCTGCTGGCTCCCGGGCCTCGGGGTGCAAGCTCTGAGCCCAAGGTCTCCGTATAAGAGCTGGCATTTCTCGAAACTGCATCGGCCTCTCTGCCCTGCCATCCCAGCTGCGAGCGGAAGCCCATGTCGATTTGAACCAGAACCCCCCCCCGCCCCGTCCACCTCCTGCAACTCCTTTCGGCGCGCCGCCTTGCAGTGAAACCGGGGCTTGGCTTGTCTCTGAGTGCCGCAGATGACTGCCACCAGTAGAGTTCAGGTGTGGTCTGGTAGCGGGCTGGCAGTTGCGAACTGCGTCAGTTACGACAACAGATGGGGTGCGAGTCATCGTCCTTTGTTTGTCCAAAGTAGAGTAAGACATCGCGTCCTATGACTGAACATCTCAAACGAAGTCTTGGGCATGAAAGACTCAATCACATAGGCTTCAGGGGACGCCAACCGTCGGCATCGATGGAACCAGCTTCTGCATTGGGAACGTGGGATAACCGCATGTTTTTTTCTTGAACGAGCCAGCTCAAAATCTTCTGGAACAAGTGCTTAATCTACTTAATCACATCCCTTCATGCACACATGCTGTCGAATTACAAAGCTGGTACGTACTGCTATAGTAAAGTTTGCAAACATCCCAGCAAAATCATGTATATGGGTGTTGATCTAAATTGCT